GCACAGCAGCAATCAATACTTAAGTGTGTAATTATTTTGTGCCTTAATGATAAGGATAACTCTGCCGTGAGTGTAAAAGGCTAAACTGAATGTAACGTTGAGTTAATGACCATTGAAACATGCATACGACTTACTATTGCAGTTTTAAAAAGAATGGATTATTAACATGAAACAAATTCAGCTAGAAAAACTGAGTCAAATCTTTTTAAACGGCCACTTTAATTACAAATCACCATTCAAACTGTGCTATAACTGTTACACTGAAATAAACACTAGCTTGTCTATTAAACTAACAACAAAAAACAAAACAAAAAATCAGTATCTGAAAGAGAAAACACACTTTGTTTCCATGAACTATACAGTCAACACAACTTGACAGGTTTTGGAGCACTGAGTTTCTGCTGACACAGCACATTTTTCCACTCACACTCTAGGAGACTCGAGTGTTTACGGCTCTGGCTGATGAACCAAATTAGATGCATGTGCGAGCCACACACACGTGTCTGCATAACAAAAGCCTTTCTTAAATATGCCCTTGAGATGAACTTGAGATGACATTTCAGTCAGACTCTCGAGATGCAGACAAAGACTGTGTGTGTGTGTTAATGTTGAGCTGTGCTGTGGGAGAGAGTTGGTGTTTGTGAGAGGAAAGGCAGAAGTAAACTAGAGAAATTGCATTTCCTGCAAAAATGCAGTGTGAATGCTTATTGCAGCAGAAGAACTTGCTGAAAAACAACTGAAATTAGCTAAAAACCTGCTGAAATGTACCTGAAATGGAAGAACAAGCCTAAATTGGCAGAAGAAAGCAGAAAGAACACATATTTGCTGAATTAGGTTAAAATAAGCTGAAATTAGCACAAAATTAAGAAAATTGCCAAAAAAAAAAACTGAAATTAGTAAAAACATTGCTTAAAAGTACCTGAAAAGTAGCTTGAAAGGCAAAAAGAAGCTTAAACTACCAGAAGGAAGCAAAAGGAGCTGATATACACTAAAAAATGTGGAATTAGCTGAAAAGCTAAAAATAGCATAGAGAACTGCTAAAAAATTAGCTGAAGTAGCAGAAAAAGCTTGAACTAGAAGAAAAAAGCTGAAAGGAACGTAACAAGCTGAAATTAGCATAAAGAAGTTAATTAGGCTGAAAGTAGCAGAAATTACCTCAAAAACTGAATTTATCTGAAAACAGTAGAAATTAGCAAAAATGCTAACTTGAAAAGTTAAAACAAACTTAAATTAGTACTTTGTAGAAGAAAGCAGAAAGAACACATTTGCTCCGATATGCTGAAAGAAGCAGAAATTAGCACGAAACGGAAATTTTCTGAAAAAAAAAAAAGATTAAATGAGCAAAGATGGCTGAAAAGTATAGCTAAAAAAGCTGAAAGAAGCTTAAATTAGCAACAGGAAGTGGAGAGAGTACATTTTTGCTGAATTAGGCTGAATAAAGTTGAAATGAGTGAAAAAAAATTGGAATTAGCCGAAAAAGCTCAAATTAACGTAAAAACAGCTAAGTAGTAGCTGAAATAGTAGAAAATGCTGAAACAAGCAGAAAAAAAGCTGAAAAGAGCATAATAAGCTGAAATCAGCAGAAATAAGTTAGAATAAGTACAAAAATGTTGTAGTTAGCAGAAAGAGTCTAAAAGGATCACAAAACAGCTGAAAGTAGCTGAAAATTTTTAAATTTGCACAAGGAGGCTGAAAAAAAGATGAATCAGAACAAAATGTGAAAGGAACAGTAAAAGGCTGTAAACAGATCTAAAGATGTGAAGGATGTAAAATGAGCACAATTCATTTTATATATTAAAAAAAAAAGAATGGCAGAAAAGGCTAAATATTTCATAAAGCTGAAGTTACACCAATACAAGTCACAGCAGGTTTGTCCTGAAAGAGCTGAACATTTTGATATATGATTTGTTGAAATAGCACAAAAATTGTGGAACGAGAAAGATGCCGAAAAACATACGGAAGAAAAGTGGATCACAATAGTGTGAAAGCTTCATAAACATTCACACAGTTATGTTGCAAAAGAAGTTAATATGGTGAGGTACTGTCTGTACTGAAGCAAAGGAGGGGCGATAATGTTTTCTCTCATTTATATGTGTTTGTCAGCAAAATATCTCATCTACCACTGAACATGTTTTAGCGGAACCCTCGGAAAATAAGCGTTGGGTTGACAAACACGTACATTTTACAGGTACTGCGCTAAAATCTTGTGTGGTAGTAGCTGAATCTGATCCCCAACTTTAACTCTGAGGGCTAACTGAACATGCAACGTCTAACAAACTGACTAGCCAACCCTGTACACCTTAGTGTGTGCTGTTAGTAAATTGCTGTCTAAAGCTCAATAATTCAGAACAGAATAAATATGTGCATGTCTTGATAATAAATTAAACACTACATGTCTCCTCTGCGCTGCACATGCACAAGCATCTAATAAGAGAACCAGGAGGCACCACATCTTTGCACTGAGAGCACACAGAAGACATGGAAGGGTCCCCCTCACTGTTTTAATCCACTTCATTCTCATTCCAGTTTCCCCCCAGAGGCAGATTTACACAACCAAAGCGCTCTGTGCTACACATGGGCAGATGAATAATCCAACAGTCAGCAGCTTGTTCTGACTCAGTCAGCGGGAGGAGCTCAGTGAGCGTGTCAGAATATTCATTTCTAACGTGTTATCTCTTTGGTATTAATGTTACAGCCTGCAGCTCTTGTGTTGACAAGGGCATGTGCAGGGCCTTCCTGCATGCAGAAAGTGCACGATGCATACTGTGCTGTTTGTGTGAGGGCGACATGGAACTGGAGCTTGATGCCACTGCCACCTCCAGGCATCAGAGGAGAGCGCTGAAAGACAAACTCCCACGGTGGTGCACTGTCAGCATGCAGCCCTGACAGTAAACCAGTTCACATCACGTGTGAACAGAGCGTGCACCTTCACACGTCACCCGCTTCAAACAGGAGAACTCTCCATGGTGCTGAAGTTAAATAGGGTTGGTGGTGCAGAATGCCACAGCTTGTTACAGTGAGCCTGTTCCTGTCTACGGTTTAAGATGCAGACCTGACCCCAGTGGTTGTTTTCCTATAAATCTGGATGCATGTGACTGTGAATGTGTGCAGGAGTGTGTGTGTGTGTGTGTGTGTGTGTGTGTGTGTGTGTGTGTGTGTGGAGGTAGAGCACACGCTGTTCTCACGTAGCCCAGAGCATAAGGAGGAAGTGCAGCTGTGGAGGTTAGCTGGAGGGGTGCAAAAGTTCAAACGCTGTCTACACTTGAGCTTTGATGTCAAATCAACCGAGACTGCGCGAGAGTCGGCAAAACACAACTGAACAGCTCTAACAAAAATGGAGGCATCAGATATTCCTGCGGTCACTCTGTCTGCTTATGTGCATCGTAATGTTATTTATTTATACCACAAACTACTCAAACAGTATTCAGCAAATACCTCAACCAGAATGATGTATTTTCCTGAGCGGGACTGTTCTCTTTAATAAAAGCCAGCCACAGAGAAGATAGGCTCCCTCGGACACAACCCCCTCTATCGCCATAGCAACATTGATTTCAAGTCTAATTATTGGGGAGCAAAATGATCTAGAGAGGCTCTGTTTTTAGGAATCTAGATCACGGTGACAGGAGGGATTACCCAAATATCCTTTGTCCCCAGCTGTATGTAGCTCATATCCACCCTGCACCACCCTCCTAAATCCTGACGAGCCAGTGATGCTATTTAGTGCCATCTAAAGAACAAAAATGTTTTACTGCAAAATCCTGACTGAAACATTTTAAACCTTATTCAGGAAGACGACACCAAAGAATTTAATTAACGACAATCAAGACAGCAGGTGTTTAAACCCTAACTGAATTGGCGAGCCGGTCTGTTTCACTTTGGACTCTTCAGAGCCAGGAGCAGCCAGCTCAGCATCCACTGTACCTGCTTTCCAAACAGGACACTGGCCTCTGTCTTCTGCTGCATCCCTTATTTAAGGAATCTCAGATTTGTTTGTTCGTTCAAGGATTATTATTAAAAAATGTCCATAGCGTTCATGTCACATTAAACTCACTGTGCATTTGTTTGATGCTGGTGATTCCATCAGGTTTTTAAAATGGGACATGTTAACCTACGTAAAATCCTAAACATAAGGCAGTCATATTTCAAATTCATTGTGGTGCAATAAAGGTGAACATTGCATTTACACAAGACCCTTAAACTGGAGCCAAGTGCACTCTACAATGTGTAAATGGGGGGGGGGGGGGGGGGGGGGAGAATAAGTGGACAAAATGGGATCAGAGATTACTCAGAGAGTGGTTTGGTTTGGACAGCTAAAGCCTGACACTTGAGAAACACTGAGCTCATTTGTCATTTTATTGCTTGGCACACCGCACCCGGCGCAGGGTCTCGCTTTAGCCCTGTTTGCCCCCCCCCCCCCCCTCACAGCCTGGGTGAGGGCTGGGCTGACCTGTTCCGTGCCGTCCCAAAGCACTGCAGCAACACCTGGGCTCGCCTCTGCCAGGGCTCCCATCACCCTGACAACTGGGGGAAGATCAAATGTCTGAACGGGGAAAAAAAATAAACTCGAACAGCTGAACCATGCACCTCAATGTTGCTGTTATTAAACACGCGCGCGCGCACGCACGCACGCATGCATGCACAGCTGCATTGATGCACGTGTGGGACTATGCAGATTTAGTGCAGATAGAACTTTTAACCCTCTTGTCACCGAGCTCTGAGTGGCTGATTGGAGAGAAAACACCCTTGAGCTCCTCTTCTTAAATACTTAGAGTGATTGTTTTATAATAATAATAATAATAATAATAATAATAATAATAATAATAATAAT